CCACGCTATATCTTTTCTTTATGGGCTCTTTAAGATGTATTCCAAAGAAGAAAAATGTTGGAGTAAGAAATGTTCATCTAAAGGGAAAATCCTAATCATAAATATTTCTTAAGACTTCTAAGCTGGTGCAGTGGTCAGCAAATATTTTCTAGAAATACCAAATCATGAAATTGTTCAGCTTTGTAATCCAGGCAGTCTCTGTTGCAAGCTATTCAGCCCTGCCATTGTAGTATGAACATTGTCCTAGGCAATACCTGAATGAATGCTTATGTCTGAGCTCTAATAAAACTTTATTTACAAAAAAAATTATTGGGTTAAATTTGGCTCATGGGTAGAAGTTTCTCAATTACTAGCTAGTCAACTTACAAGCAAAATAGCCTTCTCATTTCACAGATGAGGATCGTGAGGCAAAGAGCACGTAAATAGCTTGCTAAGAAGCTACGTAGCTGGCAAATAGAAGATCCGGGGTCAAAATATAGCAGACCTTGCTTTTCATCACAACTCCTTATGTCAACCGGTGGGATGCTTCGCTTCCAAAATCTGCCTAGCTCATTCCTTCATCTCCTTAAGGCCCTATTCAGATACCATGCTCTCAGTCAAGCTGCCCAGAAAGCCCTCAGAGCACCCCCAATTCTTCTCTCGCTGCCCTATTTGTTTCTCTAGCACTTATTATCTTGTAATTTACTATAAGTTACTCATTCACTATGTGTGCCCTATCTGTCATCTTCCACTAGCTAGCTAACAGCTACATGAGGGTCAGGCTCATTGTTCTGTTCATTAATGAATCTTAAGAACTTTGAAAAGTGTCTGGCCTATGGAATTGACTCATTAAATATTTGTTGAATGAACAAGATAGGGTTTTGCATCATGCTATTGTGACATACTTGGATTTGGATGTTCCTCAAATAATAGTAATATGCCAAGGCAACAGTTAAAAGTAGACTAGTGTTCATACGAACCGTTCATAATTTTCTAAAATTTCTGCTTCAAATTAAAAAATTCCATTTTATTAAAAAGAAGTCCAAAATCACAGTTTTCAAATTGTGTATCAAGTAAAACTCTTAAGCCTCTCTAAGGTCTGTTGAGGAGTAGCTGAAGAATCAAGAGAAGAAAAGGTAGAAAATATCCTGTTCAGTGTATAAATGAACAGTCTCTTTGAAGAGCCCGGCCAGGGGTGTGACAGCCACACAAACACTCTGAGCCTTTCTCAGAAGCTCATGAAGTAAGGAGTTCTCTCTCACTGCAGTGTGTTTATTTGGGAGTTTTGTAGCTCAAGGCAGACTTTTTCAGAAATGATGATTGTAGGCTTGGTATTTAAAGTTAAGCTATGTTTCAGCAGTACATTTGATTATCTGGAAAAACTGCCTTTACTAATTATTATAACTAATTATTATTACATGATATCTGGCCACCTTAGGAAACAATGGAAAAATTTTAATCATGGCATGAATAATCTAAATGACAGGTCACTGTTCAGCCCTAGTCAATTTTCCTTATCTTTTCTTAGGCTTCTTGCCTTCATGGAACCATAATCCAGCTGGAACTTAGAAAAAATGTCTCTGACACATAGTTGAAACCATTTAGTCAAGAATTCAGCACATATTTCTGAAGAGTTTTTGTTGTCACTGAAACTGGTAGACTTAAGATGAAGATGCAAATTTAGAGTGATGATTAATATAAATTATAACTTAAATTACTACTTACTCACAGCCTGTCAGGAAGTAATAAGCCCTCTAAAGGAAATTCATTTGCACTGTGTGATACACACACACACACACACACACACACAAACACACGTGCGCGCGCACACACACACACACACACACACACACTCCTAAGAGCTCATTCTTCCTGTTTGCTCATGTATAACTGAAAAATCCTGAGGCTCAGAAATGTATTGAATCTTGTCAAAGAGTTCACATTTACTTCAACCCAAGGTTTGAGACCCTAATTTTCTAAACCTGGCTTAGAGCTCCAGAACTTACATATTTGGTAGCAATAATCTCTCCAAGGTGATTCTACCTACTGGGTACATGGAGAACATTTTGAGTAGTCATCCATCATTCCTTTGCTCGTCCACTTGATCTTGGATATTTTATTCTTTGGTGAGGTTAAAGATTACAATTAGAGTCCAGCATCAAACATATAAGAAAACAATGTGTGTAGACCTAAAGCAAGATTATTTCCATCATTTTTTCATGGGAAAATCAAGTCTGTTTATAAAGATATAAATTAGCTCAGAATAATTACCTTTATGGATAAATCATAGATACTGGGTTGTTCAGTTTTTAGTTTGCGTTTTGATTCTTCTTCGCTATGTGGAGCACGCACTTCCGGTGGGAAAGAAATCTCTCTGGTTAGTATTTTTGTAAGTTGTTTTCTACTTAATCCACATTGTATTTTACTGAGAATTTTGTTTGTTTTTTAAAAATTGATTGCGATGGTTGTGATTCTCAAGGCTAGTTCGAACATAAGTCCTATGATGCTGCTTGTGTGTATAACATATAAAATCATACAAAATATGCAACATGCCTTTAATAATATAGAAAACATTTAACTGATTGTTGTTTCCTGGCACCAGCATATTTAGGGGACTCTGTACTTTGAGCTTCACAGAAGATCTAATTTATGCTATTTCAGAGTTTCTCAACTTCTGCACCGATTAATGTCTTGATTCAGAAAGATATTTATTAGGAGGGGATATCTAATGCATTATAGGACAATTTGTAGTATCCCAGGCTCCTCCATCTAAGTGTCAGGGCCACAAACACATCTTTTTCCCCCTCTAGTTGTGATGACCACAATGTCTCCAGATATTGCCAACTTATGAAAGATGTCAACTCACCCCAGATCTCTGTATTGTGGTCTTTACTTAAAATTTTATTTATTATTTTAATTGTATGTGCATAAGTGTATTGCCTGCATGTGGGTAAGTACACCCAGAGGTCGGAAGAAGGTGTCAGATCTCCAGGAACTAGAGTTATGGACAGTTGTTAGCTGCCATATGGATGCTGGAAATTGAACCCATGTCCTCTGCAGGAGCACTCAGAGCTCTTAACTGTTGAGCCATCTCTCCAGTCCTGTAGCATAGCCTTTATATCACTTATGTTACCCTTTACCACACACAGACATTGGATCAGTCCTTGTTGCACCTACATTTATAAAATTGGGCCAAATTTCAAATATCCTTTAAAAACTATACTATAATGACAACTCAAAAAACTAGGTTCAGAGAACCCTCTAATGAGTCATCCATTTATAAGATAAACAGTCACCAAGGAAAAATGCTGACCTGGAACACACATTTGAGAATTGAGAAACAGAGACTACATCCTAGGTTGTGCTGGTGGGTTTTGATGCTCTTTCTGAGTATTATTTTGTAATGTTGTGGTGACACTATCTTTTGTGTTTCTGTCTTATTGCTCCTATGACGTCTGATGGGTAAATATGGGTATAATGGATTAGACCTTCCCTGGATCACATATCACCTATTTTCTATCCTTGCATACTGGCATTTTTGTTTGACTCATTAAACTATCTGTTCGAGTTTGAATAAAAATACTTAATTTGCCATTCTTTCCCTCCTACGCTTCCCCTTTCTCCCTCCCTTTCTCCCTCCCTCTCTCCCACCTCTCTCTCCACCTCAGAGACAGGGTGTATGTAGCCTAGGCTATTCTAACTCAAGATCCTCCAGACTCTGCCTCCGAAGTGCTGAGATGACAGGTGTGCTCCACAATTCCTGCTGCTCAACATCTCTGCATTTCTTCTCTCCACCTTTGACTTGCTCTCTCTTGAAGTCCTTAAGAAATTTCTTACCACTCTTCTATTTACAAATCTGATCATGTTTCTCTTTCACTTAATGTCCTAGAGTGACTAACCTTCACCTTTTGAGGAAAATTGAATCTGTTTTGCATTGCTTACCCAGAAGGCTCTAGAAAATCTGGCCCTAACTTCTACTTGGCTCCATCCTTTCCTATTTCCACCCTCCCAGATGTCTGGACTAAGCTTATTCACTCAAATTCATTTACCTTGGCATCCACTGTTTGCCTTTCTACTGAGCAAACCCTTATCCTCTTACTTAACTTTCAAGTCGACCTTCTCTACAAAGTCTTCCTTGATCTGCAGACAGATGGCAAAGCTCTGTTTCCTAGGCACACATTACATTTGATGGTTATTTCTAATAGTATTGCCTATATATTTTTTAGGATGCTGTGTTCTTTCTCCCTAAAAGTTAGTTCTTTGAGATAACAGCTGTGCTGTCATCCAGACAAATGCAATAATCTCAAGCTTACTATAGTACTCGGCATGTAATATACACTTACTGAACAGTATTTGAATTAACAAGGAGTAAATACAAACAGAATGTTATTCTTAGGAATCAGTTATTAAATTCAGAAGCTATAGTTTAGAGTCTGGTTAACTATAAGCCACAAGCCAAATTCACCCTGTTCTCTTATTTTGTAAATAAAGTTTTATGGAAAAATTTAACAATATTATTTATTATATAATGTTATTGTGTTACTGATAGGCTAAAAAATGCTGATCAACTGTATTGCTGGGCAGATTAACTATTATAAAAAGTACACAGCAGATGGCATACAGTGGCCTCTCAAAACACATTTGACTCTCTGTATCAGATACATGTGATAACAATTAACAACAGAGTTTTTCCTGTTATGAAGATACAAAAAATAAATTCCTATATGTACCTCTAAGAGGGAGGAAGTGGGACCTTCGCAATCTCTTTCCACATAGTTTTCTTTGACCTGCATGTGCATCATCAGATGAGAACTTTTGACCCAGTAACTACTTTAGATTTTGATTTTTGCAACTAAGAAAATTCATGCTAAACCAAGACATAATTTGGGTTGGGGACTTGAGAACCAGCTGTGGAAGACAAAAGTGAAATTGGTTTGCCTCAATTACTGTTTAAGAGAGAAGGTAGTTTGTGAGATGTAGGTGAATTGTGTAACTTTTGATGTTTTTCGCTTGGTCTACAGGGTGACTTCACCTGGAACAGCATGTCCGGCCGCAGTGTGCGGCTGAGGTCAGTCCCCATCCAGAGCCTCTCGGAGCTGGAGCGGGCACGACTGCAGGAAGTGGCTTTTTATCAGTTGCAGCAGGACTGTGACCTGAGCTGTCAGATCACCATTCCCAAAGGTAAGGCCTCATTTGTCTTGTCTTTCTGTGGGGGATTCTGCGAGTCAATCATCTGCTTTACAAATCCACAAGCTGCAAATCCTTCTCACATCCAACATTAACACAGGAAGGAAACTCCAGCTTCTTGATCATTGGCTGGCATCTGTGTCCATTGAAAGACATGTCTAAGCAGGACAGTGTGTATGTCAGCTAACACGTTTCTTGAAAAGGAAGGTCAGCTTGGGGCCTTACAAAGGAAAGTCATACATATCTCAACAGTATATGGCTTCACATCAACCAATGAGAAAGCGTTTTCAGCAAGGTCAACTGAAAGGGTTGGAAGAAAACTATCTGTCTCAACTTGATTTCAAAGTCCACATCTGAGAAGAACGCCTTAGCATTCTGTCAAACTTATGAGTTTGACCGCATGCACAATCAGAATTGGGAATGTGGCAGTGCTCCCCTTGGTTTTTTTTCTGTTGTTGTTGTTTGTTTTGTGTGTGTGTGTGTGTATGTGTGTGTTTTAATGTATTTTTTTAAATGTGTATGAGTGTATTGCCTGCATGTGTGTAAATGCACCAGTGTGGTGCAGTGTCTGCAGAAGAGGGCATCAGATCCCCCAGAACTGGAGTTAGGATGGTTGTTAGCTGCCATTGGGTACTGGGAATTGAACCTGGATCCTCTGCAAGAGCAGCCAGTGCTCTTAACTGCTGAGCCATCTCTCTAGCCACAAGTGCACTCCTTTTGTAGCCACTCCTTTCCTGCAGTGCCTGTGTGGGTCTCCTCCATTACGACACTTGAGCCCAGACAGAACTACTTGCCTGGTATTTTGACACAAGACCTGATTCCCATAAAGCTGAGAAGCAGGTACCTGAATTCTTTGAGTTCATAGAAGTCTATCTCTGAATGCTTACTATCATCTGTAAAGGCAGTTTATAATTTGTATTTACATGAAGCATAAAGTTGAGACAAAAAGAAAAGCTGTAATTAATATGAAGATTGTAAACATACCCATAAAGAGTGTCACTTACTATTGTGCTTGAAATGTAAAGGAAAGCAGAAGAGGGATACTAAGCTTCTAAAAGGTAGATATATCATGAATATTAATTTAATAATTTATACATGCATACATATATGGGTATTGTAATTGTATCTAAAAAGTTCCTCAGAAGCTCATATGTTGAAGGCTTGTTCCTTAATACCACAATATGCAGAGGTAGGGCTTTGGGGGTGTGGTTGCATCACAAGGCCTCTGACTTTATTGAGGGATTAATCCATTGAGGAAATCATAAGTGAATGGATTATTTGAGGGTGGTGAAAACTGTAGTGGTGGGACCAGATTGAAGGGAGTAAACCCTTGGGAACTGAGTCTTGTCTAGGCAAGGCCTTCTCTATGACTTCGGCCTCCTTACCATTATGAGCTGAAGAGTTCTGTTCTACTACACTCTCATTATGATGCTCTGCCTCAAAATAGGTCCAGAAACAGGAGAGCCAAGTGACTGTGGACTGAATGCTATGCCACAATAAGCCAAAATACATATCTTTGCTTTTTTAAACTGTTTCTCTGAAGTATTTAGTTGAAGTGATTCACTGACCGAAAGCTAACTAACACACACACACACACACACACACACACACACACACAGTTCTCAAGCAGAGGTGATTTTGTCTCCTATCCTGCAGAAGACGTCTGCTAATATTTGGCCATGAATTTGCTTGTCATAGTTTGCCGGAAGGTTATATTGGCATCGAATGGATTCAAACCAGGGGTACTGCTAAATACTCTCTAAGGGATAGGACAGCCTTCCTGAACAGTAATTATCAGGTTCTAAATATTCAAGTGCCAAGGCTGAGCCACTTTACCTTACACACAGAGTTATGCTCGTATTCTTTCATGGACAGTGCAAGTGAGGCTATTTTCTTGGCTTCACTGTACCTAAGGGGAAATGTGCTGGCTTATGAGTCTAAAGACTAGAATGCAGGAACTCATTCCATTATCCCCTTGCCAGATGAACTTAGACAGTTCACCTCTGCAGTAGGAAAGTTGGTTCTTGATTCTACAAGGAGTAGCACCAAAACTCTGAGTACAGAATTTGTCATTGGATGGTAAGTCTCAGGACATTTTTTTTCTCTAAGCTGAAATATAATACTCTGTTGGGGGCCATAATGGGGATCAGAAGGCAGAGATAGAGGAGGCCTATGGACTGGTGGGATGTGAATGCCAATGACAGATGCCTTGCTCCTTTGACTTAATTGCTGTATCTTCTATTGCCATCACAATCATAGATAGCTGCAACATCCTTGTTCTGCGTCAGATCATTTAACACAAATCTCACACATAGCAACCGTCAGCACAGATTAGAAGAAAAGATCGTGAGAGGTTGTTAAAAAACTGTACTAGCAGGCCTGGAGAGATGGCTCAGCAGTTAAAAACACTGGCTGTTCTTGCAGAAGACCTGGATTCGAACCCCAGCACCCACATGGCAGCTAACAACTGTCCGTAACTCCAGTTCCAGGGGATCCAACAGCCTCTTCTGTCCTCCACAGGCCTTGCATGATATGGGTGCGCTTACCTACATGTAGGCAATACACACATACACATAAAAATAATAAAATATGTTTTTTGAAAAACTGTACTAGCAACTGTTGGGAAACAGGTCGTGCCACAGTTTCACTTAGAGACAGGCTGTCCTGCCTCACCTGGCCTTGGTTTGCTTGTAAGTTTCAAAGGAAGCTTGTTCTTACATCTTACGTTGCTCAAAAGATAGACTATGCAACTCTCCTACACCAGGAGAGTTGTTTCTGTTTTCATGAGCACAGACATTCTCTGAATTCCTGAAAAGGTAGAAATGTTGGAAAACCCAATTTATAGTGAAGAGCACGAAGGCTTTGAAAAAATTTGGGATTTAATGAACATGAGATAAGCTATCAGGGAACCAATTATTCTTTGTAGCCTGGCTTTAAAATCTAGTTAATTTGCTATTTTTCTTTGTTCCTCAGTTTTAAAGAGGCCATTGAATAAACATTCATTACCATATAGAACTATCATAAAATGTGTCTTCTGGAAGCTCTGTCTCCATTTCTCATTTCTGAGACTATGTGATTCAAACACCCTCAAGGAATAGTTCACACTATTGAGCTGTAACAAACTATTGCCAGTTCATGGGATATATTTTGATACTTTCTATCAAAATGGGAATACATGATTTAGAAAAAAAAAATTTATTTACGGAGGGGAGAAGAGATTTTGGCTGAGCAGAAAAAGTCAATTATTACCCAAGAGTTTCTGAAACTATTGTTTTGACCAGGTGATTATAAGACATGGGATATTACTTAGCTGTATGAATACATAACCAGTGCCAAATGCAATGACAGCAGCTTTAGTATGAATGTGGCCGCTTAGTCTCTGTGTAAACCCCAAAGCAGATGTTCTAAATAGTGTCAGATACACTATGTGAATAATTTTCACAGGAAAATAAAGAGACTATCCGGAGCCTAAAACCTAAAGAAACAATACCACTCCTGATAAGATACTAGATACATTGAAAATGGAAACACATTTGAGCTCACATTTCTATTTATTGTCACTTAAATATGATTGTTTGGGCTGCTTTGTGATTTGTGAAGAAAGAAGCTTCTAAATCTCAGACAAAGTATATTCTAGCATAGTCCATAACTTCAAAACACATCAGAGTGGAGATTTGAGTGGGAGAGGTTGGGAAGTCACTGGGGTGATTCCCTAGAATGAATAGAAGTAAATATGACCTTGATTGGAGCCATAATAGCTAGACAATTGTTATATAGTCACAGAAGCAGGTAAGTTAGATGTTGGGGGATATGATAGAGAATTTCACTCTACATTGCTTCTGTACTTCCAGTGAAACCAGAAGCAATTTCATCATCTAGGAGTAAGATGAGGAAGACATCCTGGAACTCTGGATAAGAGGGAAAAGAGTGGAAGAAAGGGGATATAATGGACCAGTAATGATGCAGGATTTCAGGGCTGCCAAGAGCTCCAACTAGAATTAGTAGCTAAAATTCAGAATGCAAAATAAACTTCCTGGCAGTTAAGCACTATTTTAAAAAAATACATTTTTTACTTTACATTTCTTAGCCCTAATTAATCAAAATCTCCTTTAATTAATGTTTGAATTAAGTTTAATGAAGGGAGACTCATTAGAATTGAGACTGTATATGTGGTCAGCAGAATAACAATAACATTCCAAAGATGGCCACATAGTAACCTTTGGAACCTGTAAATAGGTTAAGTAGTATGGAAAAGAATTTTGCAAATGATGGGGCTGGAGCTTTTTTTTTAAGACCACTGACTGATCTTGCAGAAGATCTGAGTTCTGTTCCCTACACTCATATGATGACTAACAACCATCTGTAATTCCAGCTGCAGGAGATCCAAAGTCCGCTTCTGGCCTCTACAAGCATTACACACAGGTGCATTTATACACATGCAGACAAAACACGCATACACATAAAATAAAAATAAATAAAGAATTTTGCAAAGGAGATAAATTAATAGCTTTGACATAAGGAAATTATTCTAGATTGTCTGAAAGGGCTCAGACTAACCATATGAGTAGTTGAAAGTGAAGAAACTTTCTCAATTATAGTCAGGAAGGAAATGATTAATGAAGGATAGCCACGGAGATGCAATGTTGTTGGCTTTGAAAATGGAGAAAGAAGGCCACAAGCAAAGGAATACATGTGGCCTCTGGGAGCTGGAAGTCAACAGAATAGATCTCTTCCGGAAGTGCCCTGAAAGGAACAAAGTTCTGATGAGACCTTGATTTTAGCCCATTGATACCCATTTCAGATTTCTACCTCCAGAGTTGCAAAATAATAAATTTGTGTTGTCACTAACTTTGGGGTCATTTGTTACAGCAGTGATAGAAAACTAATACAGTATCCAAGGGAATAATTCAAATACAAGACAATGATGTTTTAAATTAAATATCAGGAGGAGTTAGGTTCTGGTTGTGGTAGCACACACCTGAAATCCTAACACT